CATTCCATGGGCTTGGACTTACCTGTTCATTCATGATGATTCTCTGATTGACTTTGGAGTTATTTTGCCTCCTCCTGAAGCCAAGGAAGGGACAAAGATTTTGAATTACAGTCATAGATTGATATTTTTTCTTTGTTTTGTAGCAGCTTCACAATCCTATCCAGTAATAACTCACTGAAATTGAAGAAGGACACAAAACAATGTTTTCATAAAATTAAGAGAATAAACATGAAGTAAAACTCATGTGCTGTCCCAGAATCAGCCCCTAATAGGAGACATGAAAGAAGGGACATTCTTGAAATCAATAGTTTCTTGTTTGCAAGAAAATATTCTTGCAAGACAATTCTCTGACTGCTCACTGTAACTGTTGGAACAGTTTCCTCACCTTGTTTAGTGTTGTGCAGCTGGGTTTATTTTCTAATACCCATTTCTGTAAGAATGCAAAGATACTCAGTTCAGAGTTCAGTTCAAAAGGACAGTAGAATTGAGACAGACTCATCAGTGGATATGGACAAACTTAATCCAGTGTTAGACCACCAAGATGCTTTTTATTTTTGCTGCTTTAGCATGTTCATGTGCTGAGTCTCAGCAGCTCCTGGAGCCACGGGAGGATAAGCAGTGACTGCAGGCAGGGCTGGGCTGCTCTGGGTGAGCAGGATAATGTCAAAATGGAGCATCTGGGAAGTGGGAACCAAAGAAGGAGAAAGATGAAACCTCAGGGCTCTGGAGAGCCTGAGGACTTCCTTATCCACAGATACATTGTGGTCCCTGGTATGAAGGATTCGGCTGCGTGGGCTGGCACTGGAACAGGGACACACAGGAACAGGGACACACAGGAACAGGGACACACTGGAACAGGGACACACAGGAACAGGGACACACAGGGACACACAGGAACAGGGACACACTGGAACAGGGGCACACTGGAACAGGGACACTCACAGGGCTCTCCATGGGGAGCTTTGGTGTGTCCTGTGGGATTTCAGTGCTCTCCGTCTGCTCCACAGTGCGACAACTGCGGCATCGAACCCATCCAGGGTGTCCGGTGGCACTGCCAGGACTGCCCTCAGGAAATGTCCCTGGATTTCTGTGATTCCTGTTCTGACTGGTGAGCAGCACGTGCTTCTACTTGTTATTTGTCAGGAGATCTGATCTCCCTGCTGTGGAATTGCTGCATGTTGGGAATCTTTGCTCCAGCACGGGACACACACCCTGTGCTGGGGAAAGTGGAGGATACTTTTTTATCAAGTATTAGCATGTGTTTGTGGGGAGGTATATTTTTTAACAAGTTCTGGATGTATAATTTATTTTTTAATGAGATAGGTTTGGTACTGTTGAATAGGGGGGGGGAATTACACTTCATGAATGAACTGGGATCCACTTTGGTATGAGTCAGTTCATATGATCGCTGTTTCTGAAAGTGAAGGACAATATTTGACTTTTAAACTGTTATCTTTTTCTTTCCCTTGCAGTCTGCATGAAACAGAGATTCATAAGGAAGATCACCAGTTAGAACCTATTTACAGAGCAGAGACATTTTTAGACAGAGACTACTGCATGTCCCAGGGCACCAGTTACAATTATCTTGACCCAAACTACTTTCCAGCAAATAGATGACATGGGAAGCAGATCTACCAGCTTGGGTTTACTGTCCTCTTTGAATAAATAACAATGGCACCATTGTTAATTCCGTGCACATTTTGGAAAGACTCTGCTTTCCCTGAAATGTCACTCACAGCATGACAGCTTCCTGGGTGTACTTGTCAAACTACAGCTTCGAGCTGTCATGGTTCTAGATCACTGAACAGCAGCTGAACATTCCTAGTGTGCAGAAGGTTTCACTGGGAGACTTTTCTCACCACATTAGACACTTTTAGGTGGTGAATCTAAACAAAAGAAAACAAAAACATTCAAAAGGGTGAGCCAGAATTGAGAGCACACATTAAAGATAGAGTAAATTCCAAAGGCTTTGAAGAACTCGGTTATAATGAGATCAGAGGAGATGAAGTATTTATATAAAAACAGTTTAGTAGCTTGCAGTTTTGTTGTGAAATAGTTTTCAGCACAGTAACTGACTTCTTTAGGCAAGGTTTTAACCAATGACAGTGTTTGCTTCTAGGCTGTACTCTAAAAATCCTCACTGTCTCGGCGACGGTTGGTTACAGGCCTTTATTAAATCGGAGCTGCTTAATCATGTTGACTTTCAATTTTTTTAATTTTTTTTTAAAACCACGATGAACTCTATTTACCAACAGTGAAGCACTACAGGGGGCAACTGTGGCATTGCTTCCTTAACCAGCTCATGGTGTGTGAATGTTATAAAATTGTCACTCAGATATATTTTTTAAATGTAATGTTATATAAGATGATCATGTGATGTGTACAAAATATGGTGAAAAGTGCCAGTGCTAGTAACTGTGTAAAGTCTCTAATACTCGACATTAACTCCTTTAAAATAAAATACACAGCCTTCTGCCTCTGTATTTGGAGTTGTTAGTGCAACTCATCAAAGAAAACTGCCTAATATAAATCATATATATGGTAATAATTTTTCCTCTTTTGTAGTCTGCACAAGATCCATGAAAGATTGTATTTTTATTACTATTTAAACAGTGATTAAATTTAGCCTGAGCAGTGAGCAAGGGTTCACATGCATTCTTTTATACTGCTGGATTTTGTTGTGCATCATTTAAAACATTTTGTATGTTCCTTCTTATCTGTGTATACAGTATGTTCTTAAATAATGTTCAATTGTCAGGAGAACTGTGAGAAATAAACTATGTGGATCCAGTCTGTTTATATATAGAATGCTTGCTGTGACTTCCTTTCTGTGTAAGTTCTGACTTTTTAACCGAGGTGGAAAACGTTCCGAGGAGCTTTTCCTCCGTCCCACAGCCCCTCCCTGTGCCAGCCCTGCAGGATGCCCAGTGCCCTCCTCTGCTCTCCTGGCACCGGGGCAGGAGGAGCATTGCAGTCCTCACATCTCACAGACTCCTCTGCCAGACCACGGGCAATTCCAGTTTCAGTAGCCTTGGTGCACACTGTATGCCGTTCTCTGAGAGGCTTTGTAATTATTTGTGACATATTTTACTTAATATATATTTTTTATTGAAATGTATAGCTCGTGATTCAGAAACACTTGATTATTTTATAACTGTAATGAAGACTTCCAGTTGCTTTGAAACTAGAATACTCAGAGCAATTAGGTAGAAAACAGACTAATTTGACTTAAAAAGGTGGCAATAAGGATAATTGGCTGGCTGCACCATGTAACTAATTACAGATGGATCAGTATGAAGTTTTGCAATAACTTTAGGTGTAGCTATTTTCTGCTTCAGAAAAACAATAATTTTTAGGCATTTAACCTATTTAGAAGGTAATAGAGTACAGTTACTAAAACATTGAGCAAGTAGCATCTGTGAACATATTTCGCTATACTTAGATAAATTTAATAAGCCCTAAAAAAATGTAACACAAAACCTCACAGGATGTATTTTAAATTGGAAGAGATCCTGCTCTGAGAGGCTCTCTAATACCACAAAAATGTGCTTTCCACATCATTCATGGTCTTTACAGGAAACTAGAGTTGGTGAAGGTGTATTATCAGGGAGACAATCTGTGGTAATACTCATTTTCTGTTGATATCCTGGAAAAATTATTGGAATAAAATAATGAAAGTACATTAAAGAGTCATCAGTTTAGGATAGCTGGGAAAGAACCAAACATCATGGTATCACTGGAATGAGATTGGAAGCAGAAGGATAGTTTCAAGTCTGAATCACCCAGGAAAGGAGTGTCTTGGATAAGTCCTCTTTTATTGAATATGTATAAATATTAATATTTCCCTCTGCATGCATATACAGCTATTTCTCTTGCAGACTTTATGAACATATGCAAATAGGTATCTAATGCACATACACCAAATCAAGCATGGGCTTTTTTTTTTGGGTTTTCCACAGAAAAAAAGAAGCAGAAAGAAGAAAAATTAAACTGTATGTTAAATAATTTTTATAATTAGATTTTAAACTTCCCCCACCCCCCCAACCAACCAAACAGCAGCTGCTCGTTGCCTTTGTTCCCATCCTGCACCAAGCACGAGATCCACACTTTAGAACTTCTGCTGTGATTAGAAATCCAGGAAACCTCCCCAGGGGAATTTGCAACTTCCTGGTAACTCCAGAGTGTTTTACTTTTAACAAACCAAAGGACAGCAGCAGCTGCTGGGGGTCAGGGCTCCCTCCCCACCCCGGCCTGGCCGAGCTGATGTTGTGCTGCCGACGTCGCTGCTCCCTCAGCGCTGGGCTGGAGCTGGAGAAGCACTTCCCAGAGCATCAGAGGTAAAATGTAGGCTGTAGAAGGACCCCAGGAAAAGAAGGAACATCCAGGATATGAAGGATAAGAACATATGTAAAACGAGACCCTTAAAAATAATCGAATTAGCATTTACAGGGCAAATGCTAAGGAAGAAAACGAGACAGAAGACTCGGCCCTGACTGGAAAAAGGACAGACTCTGTAAGCATGCTGATTTGAGCTATATTTTCAAGTCATGTACTGTGCTTTGAAAAGGATTAAACCCACATATACTGTAACAGAAATCATTCCTCCTCATTTTTGTACATGTTTTTATTTGTATTATGTCTTCGTTACAAGAAAGGTAACTTTAAAAATGCAAATCTGCTGCATAAAGTACAATTGGACAGTACGAGCAATCATGCAACCCACTTTCACTGTGAATTCATCCAGAAGTTCCAGTAACAGGATGCAATTACTTTACAGGAATGTCAAACAAGCTTTTTATTTAGCTGTCAGGATACCAGAGAAACTCCACAACATTTGGGTTAACCCAGCGGAAATACGGTTTGACTTTTACAGAGTTTTTTGCAGTTATTACAGATAAATGACTTACTAAAGATGCAAGCAACAGGAATCAAATAATCCCTGACATTTTCCTTTTTTGTTGTTTTTTTTGCTGGTTTCCCACCCCACCAGACCACCCCCCCCACACACACACCCCTCCTCCCCAGGTTTTGGCAGTGGCAGTACAAGACAAGAGATGATGATGATGATGTGAATTTTGCATTTGAAATGCTTCCCCAAGTACGATTTCAAGGTGGCATGGTAGGTTCTGGCTCACAGTCACCTTCACGTGCAGACTTTAACAGCTATGGCACAACTGTTGCTCACATGGACCATCACTGGCTCACACACTGAACTGTACAACACAACCATTGTTCTCACCTCAGCTCACAGAACTGGGCAGTCAGCTCTAAAATCCTGCAATTCCCAGCAGGAGACAAGACTCTCTCAAAAATGGTGTCTGCACCACGATGATGGGTTGACAGAATTCCACGATATTCAACTGTATCCTCAATTAATTTTTCTCCTTGTTGTACTAGTGTTCTGGGCATGTGTGAAAAGTTCAACTTGTAGCTTAACTAATTCCAGCTGTCTTACAGCTGCATGTGACAGAGAACAGGGTTTAGTCACTAAAGGCCGAGAACAAGCTCAGTGACACCCCAAAAATTAAAACTGTTAATTAAAATAATGTCTGATGGGAAACCTGTATGCAGTCACCTTGAGATCAGTGTGCTGAGCAGTGTGTGAGGGGGTTGGAGAGCTCCCTGCTGGCCAGGCACTGCCTGATTCCCCATCCAAGGCAGGAGAGCATGACATACAACCCAGAGCTGCTGCTCACCTGCCTGCTTGGAACCCGGGAAGAGCAAACAGCCAGAGTGGGGGTGGCACACGGAGCACTGTCTATGGAGTGGACTGTCAGCACAGGAGAAAGGATTTCACCTAGAGGGACACAGCACATGCACACATTCCAGACACCCCTCAGGAAAGCAGTATTGCTTCGACCAGCATTGCACTCCTGGCTGTGGGTGCATGTGAGGTGAGGCTGTGTCCACACCAGTACACACCAGTACACACCATCACTGCGCTTCTGTGGAAAGTGCTGCCTCTTCCCTTCTCAGAAAAGAGTCAATTGTCTTGCAGATTTCCAGAAAAACATCCTCCTGTGTTCCTTCTGCATCGACCTGTGAAGCAGGGAAAAAAACATTAGTTTTGATTAAGTTACAAAGAACTCTCTCAGAATCTAAACACTGACACAAAAAACTGGTCCAACATAAAGTGAAAGTTACTCTGTTTCATGTTAGAAGCATTCTAATGTAGAGGAGCAGCTTCCATAAACCACATTATCCACTTTGTTTCCACAGATTTATGTAAGAAGGTTCCATAGGCTCCATCATCTGTGGCAAAGTACATTAATCAAGTGAAGGAGCTTAAGCTCTTTCTCTGAAATATTCGGGTTTGAAAGCAGAAGTACCCCTTTGGGATACAGAACAGTTTCCAAAGGCTCATCTCCAACCTGTCGAGGTCCTGAAGGGCTGCGCAGCCCTCTGGGGTCACGGCCACTCCCTAACACAGCAAATTTGGGTGTTTCTGTGCATTTGTATTTGGGAGTTTGGTGAACTGGTTCTGGGTTTATGATGTCCTTTGGACAACTCATCTTTTCTAGGGGCACTGCTTTTGTGGCACGAGCGCTCCCTTTCACTGAAGAAATTTTTTTAACACCCCAAAGATTCAGTTTTCTGTTCGAGTTATTTGTCATGACTGTACTTCACCAAAGAAAGGACCAATTAACTTTCCTATGCTGAGGAAGAGGAGCTGCCTTTCAGCAAAGGAGGATTATGTTTGCAGCCAGGAACACTCGTGTGTGTTCCCTGGAGCACGTGAGGTGGCCCCGAGCTGTTGGGAACGATGAGTTCCGTGTCCATCCCACACAATGAGTGTCACACGGGTCACTGCTCGGGGAAGGAGAGCTGTCTTTTGCCCCCACAGCAGGGACAGAAGCAGCTTTCCCACTGGCTGGGTACACCCCACAGATGCATCTGGTGACTATTCCTTTCCTCAGATGCCTGCTGAGAGCTTTGGTCTCTACTCAAAAGCAAGTGTCCTTTCTGCTTCTCCATGCTTGTCTCATGCCATGGAGTTTGCATGACCCAGGACAACTTTGCTAAATGCTCTTTTTCTGAACTATGTGCTGCATTTTCATCTCCAGGTTACTGACCAGGATGCCAGACCATTGCAGTGTTTGAAGGGGACGTTCCTGACCATCAAACTTTCTGCCACCTCTTTGTTCTGCAGGAGAATTAAAGGAGTTTCATATTCAAAACTCGTCCTTTTTAAATAGGCCGAGAAATGCTGCTCAGATACGGTGCTGGCTCACAGCCAGCTCCTGTGCAGCCTCACTGCACTCCATGTACAGTTAAGTCCCTCAGTGCTGAGCCCTGTGTGGGAGTCAGCAGCTGCTCCTTTCAGAGATCTTGCATTCCCACTCCGTGCCTTGATGTCACTCCTGGTGGCATCCACAGACGTGGCAGAGTTTGGTCCCTGTTGCCTCCTGTCGGAAGCGCTGGCACATCCCACCAGTGTGCTGCACACACAGCAGCTCCAGCACTGGGTACCCAGCCTGGGCAGCCCTGAAGGAGCCTGGCTGGCTGCACCCCCTGGGATCACTGCATGGACACCTTCCAGCCTGAGCTGAACCCCCCCTTCCCTCCCAGCAGCTTCCAGGGGCACCGTTCCCTTGCCTGCCCTGCTCTCCCTCACGGTGGCGGCTGCTGGAGCTGCTGCTTCCTGCAGTGCTGAAGCAAACACATGGAATAGTTCTGGAATGCTGGAATAGTTCAGGAAGCAGCTCGTGCCTTACAAAAGTCAGTTCTCCAGCAAGGGCTGTGTGTCTGTCAGAAGCTTTCTGTGCCATGAAGACAAAGGGTTTTGAGGGGGGTACTCACTAGGAGCAAAGAGAAAAGGGGAATGTTGAACTATGCTGGACCAAATACCTTCTCCAGCTGCAATAAAACCAACAACTCCCATCTCAGCTGCTATAAAACAGTTTGTTTTGCCTGTCTCAACTGCCAAGACACCTATTTCCATATGGCTGTCCCACAGGATGTATACTTCACACAGGGTGAAGGCCACAGCCATTTCAAAGTTCTCTTGTCTGATGACGTATTTTTACTCTCTCTTTACTCCATACATACATCTGCACTGTATAACTGATCTCATCTTATCAGCCCTGCTGATTGCCACTGGCTTTTTGGTGGCCTCTTCAGAACTGGGACTGATACTCAGGTCAGGATCTAGGGAGTTGTGACGAGGAATTAGCTTTGTAAGCATGGAAATGGCTGCCCTTTATGACAGGCTGGAACACTGACTTCCCAACAGCAACACTAAAATATGGATGAGCGTGACTAATGACAGCCCCAGTGCTTCCCACGCCGGCCTCCTAAATAACAAAGGCCCAATTCATAAAACTAACTTAACGTTGTGGCACAAAACTAACTTAATGTGACCATAATTCACATCTAGTACTACAGTAATTCAATGACACTCTCAGCAGCTCCAGAGAGAAAACTGTGTGTTTCCCTTTCTCAGAATATAACAAACCTCATAAATTAGGACTGCTTTCAAGGTTATTTAAGGCTGGCTTCTCATAAAAGCAAGATCCATATAGTTTTCCAATAGTGCTTCCAGTTTTGAAATGCAGCTGTGGCTTTAGGTAACTTCAAACACAGAGAGATTTAATGAGCTCGTGTGAAAAACGGCTGGAGTAACCACCCCCATGGTACAGTGTTGCTCCTTTTGTCATTAAAATCGGCCAATTAAGTTTTCTGTCAACAAATCTCCAGCTGATGTAGGTTTTGGAATTTAGAACCTCAGACACACTTATAATGGCATCAGCATGAGAAGGCTCACCAGGGAAGACTGTGAGAGGGTGGATGGTCACGTGTTCTTTCATAATGGTTATGGAATATGTGACTTCAACTGATTTTAGAAAGAAACAGTAGAACAACACTGAGGAAAAAAATAATTAAAACAAAAAAAAAAGAAGGAAAAAGGTGGCTAAGCTTTGGTAGCGTGTGACCTGAAACAGAGAAAGTTTTTGGACACCTCTAATCCTCTGCTCTGGACTGCTTATTTGTTACACTCATGCTTTTTTTCCTCAGATGGCTTTGTCCTTCAGACACCTACCAGGTGCCTGATGGCAGCTAGGTAGGATCAGTGGTGTCTTGCTTGACTCCCAATGCATTGCTCTGCTCTATAACTTATAACCCTCCTACAGACTGTCACTTGAAAAGAGCTTTAAAAGATGAGTCAGATATTAAAAACAATCATTTTTTTCCCTCCCTTTCTTCTCGATTGACAGAAGGCCATATATTCAGAGGGATTTACATTTAGCCACGTCAAAACACAAGTAGGTGTCCACTAAATTTTCAGATGCACTTTTCTGTCCGGCTGCCTTGGAGATCACTGAGAAATAAATTTAAAAATAACAGCATCTACCTGCTTATTACAGCTACCATAGAGCATTTCATTTCATTTCATTAATCTGAAACATCTGATTCCCACAGACTCAGGCAGCTTGCAATGGGTGTTTTTGTGAGCAGTGCTTTCAGCCCTTGCATTTCCAGCACAGGGTCTTTATTGAAAAGCAGCCACTGGCTGTCCTTAGCAGTAGGTGGGGGTTCTGTAACTGACTGGGAAAGGAATTATGGAATATTAAACTAAATCCCCAAAACATGATTTTTTAAAAAAAATAATTGAAAATTTTCTATTAACAATTTAGAAACTTAAAGCCTTAGCAGAAAAGTAGCAGAGGACACTTCATTCTCCAATCCGTTCATCTTCCCTTGCAAATACACTCCCGTGAGTTCCATCCCAGTCCTTCCCCTCAGCAGGGTGGTGGAAGGATGGCTGTTACTGATTCCTGGCAGGTTCACAGATGTTTCCCCTGCCCCCAGAGTCTCCACCTCTGTGCACACCTCGTGCCTCTGCTGGGCACAAACACTGACTGCTCATCTTGGCCAAAGGGACATTTCTAACAGAGCCTGATCTTTTGTCAGCTTCAGCAGGTCACTGTTCTCATTCAGAGGTCAGCAGAGTGAAAAAATGTTCCAGTTCCAAATATCACATTAGTTATTTATGAATGCACCTGTGCACAGGAACTCTGGGTGTAGAAAAGATCACAGAATCACAGAATCAGCTGGGTTGGAAGGGATCTCTGAGATCATCGAGTCCAACCCTTGATCCAACCCCGCTGTGGTTCCCAGCCCATGGCACTGATGCCACATCCAGTGTCACCTTAAACACCTCCAGGGATGGAGAATCCACCCCTTCCCTGGGCAGCCCATTCCAATGGCTGAGCACTCTCTCTGTAAAAAATTTCTTCCTGACATCCAACCTAAACCTCCCCTGGCACAGCTTTAGACCCAGCCCTCTTGTCTTGTTGAAGGTCACAACATTCTCAAGGATTAAAGTGGGAATGCTGTTACAACCATATATCTCTTCTGGGCAAGTAAAGCAAGGAGAGAATTCCTAATGAGGGCAGAGAAGTCAGGTCAGACCTGAGTTTGTGTTTATCAGGCTCCATCCAGCCGTGCCCTAATGCCTGTTCCAAAGCACAGGGCAGGGAAGCTCACTTGGCACTGTCCTCTCGAGCTCACCTTGATGAGGTGTGACAGTTCCTCCTCCACTGAGTGCTCAGCCAACATCCAATTCCCACACCAGACCTTTTGCTGGCCTTATGCCCAGGACTGGATTTTACATTTGCATATTTAATCAGCCTGTTTCAGGACTGAAAACCTTCTGACTGGATAGGACAAGTTAAACACATACCACCATTGCCAGGTGCCGCTCCCAGTCTGTGGAAAACTTTGTCCAGCCCTAAACACACTTAAAGGGGAGAAATCAAATGACCACCCAACATGCCAACCCTCTTTTCTTGTTGAACAAATCTACTTCTGATTTTCTTTCCTGTGGCAAAGCAGGAGCTGGGTGCTACAGTCAAGCCCTACAATGATCACTTATACAATTAAACACTGTTTCACCTCGAATTCAGTGGTGCTTAGTCACACACTGCAGTAAACTGGCTAGAAAAGGTTAATGCTGAATCTTTGTGGCAGTTAGTGGGATTTAGACTCTAATATTCCTCTTAAAATCTCAACACCCACTCCCTCAGTCTTCTGTGTATGTATATGATATTACAAATACCGAAAAAACAAGGACTATTTTAGCCTAGCCCGCACCAAAAAAAAAATTTATTTGATCAGAAGTTATTATTGTCAGTTTTTCTGCTTTCCACCTGAATTTCCTTTCATCATTCAGAGAACATCAGAGTGGCTGCTAATGTCAATGCTTGGCCATCTGTAAAATCTGTTGCTATAAATAAGAAACTAACCCCCTGCCCTGGGAATTGCAAACTTCCCCTTGGCTCTCTTCTTTCTTCAACACAGCTTCAACATATCCACCAGTAAGACAGTTTTAAAACTGTAAACCTAAATGTCTCCCTTCTCTTAATTCCCCCACATAGCCAACAGTTGCACACTTTGTATTATCTAGTTCTCTTTGCTTCAAAACAGCCACTGAGCAAATCTTAACTGTATTTATTTGTCTTTATTTTTCAAACTGTTGAGCCAAATAACGTAGAGGTTTGTAAGATGCACATTTACAGGATAGTAATACAGGTTGGAAAGAACCCCAGTGGGTCATCTAGTCCAGCCTCCTGCTCAAAGCAGGACTGGGCACTGCAGGGACATCACCATGCCAGAGGCAGTTGGAGATGACAAAGTCAGACTGTCTCATTAAACTCTTTGAGTTAACATACAGGAAAACTGCCTAGAAAAATTTCCTAAGCAAGAATTCCTTCCAGAAAAAAAGTTATTTTGTTTCACAATACTTAGTGTATTTCCAAACTGGAATGTTTTGTTGGGATTTTTTTTGTTTGGAATTTTTTGGGTTGGTTGGTTTTTTTGTTTTTGTGAGGGGTTTTTTGTTTTGATTTTTGTTTGTTTGTTTTCTTTTTTTTATTCCAGCATAGTCCACTTCAGAACTGACAGGGAACATTTGGATAGGGAACGTCAGAAATAGAACTGAAGCCAATTGCCCTGTGCAAGAAAGTGCTCAGACTTATTTCTGCACTTTCACTGTAGGTGCAAAGTAAACTTTAAAACAGACAGTTCAACAACTCTTGGTTAAGAAAAAAAAATCACTTCTCTCACCCATGAAAAATAAAACATTAACAGGCTTCTTGTACAAAAACTACATCTGCTTCTGGTGCTCGCTGCACAGGCACCAGGGCTGTTGGCTTGTACCCACAGCTGGCTGGGGGTGACAAGGACAGCCTTGGGAGGATTGATTTTAAAATCCCACCTCTGCTGAGGATTTTGGCAGTGTTCTCTAAATGCTGATAAATCACTGACATGTACTTGTCCACATTATAAGGGTTGGGGTGGGGTATCGATAGTGGAGTCACAGCTTTGACAGCAGATGTATTTTATAATATATTCTTTGTAAGAAGTGGATGAGGCAGACATTTCAGTGGCTGTGTCCAAGAAAAACAGAACACGCTTTTCAACCTTTAAAGGCCATTTTCCATTATATTGTTTATGAAGCTGATTTTACAGATCTTTCACACCCAGAAGATGGATGTGTGTGGAACACACCTACAATCACCAGAAGCAAGTTCAGGCAATGTACAGCCATTGTAAGAAAAGCAGGGTGGGTCTGTTCAAGCAAGGCACAGCTATTTTCTGACATGCAAACCTACAGTGTCAGTTCCCCCAAAAACTAATGAGAAGAGTAGAAATCACACTCAGTTCTGACCCACAGATTAGGCAAGTCCCTTCAGGAGCTAAGGAGCCATCAGCCCTCAAGAAGAGACTGCATGTTTTGCCACTGCACAGCAGATGGAGCAGGAACTTGCAGCAGAAGTATTCAGGAAGGGCAAGGGAAGTCCAGGTCAAGTGAAATAAGGCAGACCATGAATGCAAAATCTGTGTGAAAGCATTTAGTGTGGTTTCATTCTCTTTGGGACTGCTCTTTGCTGATGCTTCCAAAAGGGAAACACTGTGGTAGGCACAGCTCATGCAGTGGGATATTGAGACAGAGAGCCCTGTTTGCCTTTGTGTTGGTGTGTTGTGCACTGCACTGAATCCTTAACCAGACACATCCCTGCAATGCTGGCAAGACAGCTCCTCAATGGAACAACAAATAAACCAGGTTATCTTTCATAAGCTTGAAGGTGGAAAGTAAGTGGGAGCTTTTTTCTGCCCCTCTAGACTTGGCCTTATGTGCTCTCATTGTGGGGTTAGCAAAGGACACCAATCAGGACTTAATTCCTTTGAGTTTCATTTTTCTCAGCTCTGTGTTATTTACTCTGTTCTCAGGTCAGGATATGGGTGCATAAATTAGCTGCATGTTTCTCTTTTGGGAACTCTGCAGAGGAGAAAAGTTTGGGGTATGTGATTTGCATGTTTGCTACAGCCTCCTGGAAAAAAGATGCCATAATATTTCCAGAAATTATTATTGGATTCTTTCCTTTTTAGGACAAGACAGAGCAGCAGGACTAGATCTTTCTGTAGCTGAACATAAGGGACAGTTTACCATGACAGAGCAGAGAAATAAAGAAAAAAACCCCCAAACATCCCTTATAAATGAGCCTACAGATGTGCCTGCATATACATCAGCTAAGTACACTGATGCAATTTTTCTTGCTTCACTGTAAAGTGTTGATTAGAAAATTTAAAAAAATGCTCTGAATATCACATCCTGAGCAGGTGTAAACTGAGGTAAGTCACTGAAATTCATATAACTATGTTATTTATTCCAGCCAAAAGGTCTTTCCTATATGCAGGTCTGTTTTATTTCAGGATATATGCTTTCAGATTTGTAAATTTAACTAAAGGACTTTGGATTAACATAATCTTTCATCCAAATTCTGAAAGCCCTTATAAAGAAATAAATCCTAATACTTAAAGAAAAGCTTTCCAGAATTAATGTTTAATAAGAGATTCTATACAGATGAGGTAGTGATTCAGGATATGTTCCCAGATTAAGCATAAATCTGTGATTTTGCTCTTTCAAACTGCACTGTGGGACTCAGAAGTTCGTAGAAGTTGCAAACAAACCAGGGAAGAGCAAAATGAGAACAAACTTGGAAGCGCGGAAACAGTTCATAAACGGCGTCGTGACAGGATTTTCCAAACACTGCTTATATAATGGAGGCAAAAAGCAATGATTTAATGAGAAAGGTCAAGCAGTTTACCTTGCATAACTGTGTCTTGCTTTCATAGTATGCAATCAGAGGCTTTGCTGCTTGGTAATAGCTCTCGATTCCCTCCTTGATGGTCTCGGCGTTATCAGGGTTGTGACTGCTCTGGTTCCTCAGCAGAAGGCGACTGCTCATGGTTTCTGCAGAGCAGTCCAGGCAGAACACGACTTTTGGCTCCCCAACCTAGGGACAAAGTCAAACAATAAGTATTCCCAAACCACTGGTCTGGGGAAATTGATTTTCTCTGGATAACACTGAAAGAGTCATCGCTGTAACAGCACTTGGAAAGCCCAGTATTGAGGATCAAGGCTGTGCTTGACTGGGCCCTACACAGAGAGATAAAGGGAGATGATCTGACAAATTCTGGCTGCTTGGACTGAAGATACTCAGTTCATTATTTGCAACTGTGAAATCAAAGCTCGATGCAAACACTGCAGGACTTACAGAATACTTGACACACTTCTGTTTCTGGCCTTTGCTTTGTTCAGCCTGGGAAAAGGGAGGGATAAACTACAGCTTAGAATTCCAAGACCCAACAGAAGGAAATGTCCAATTTAAAGTATGCTCACTTGAAATGGAAATGGGTAACAGCAGACAGGCTCAGGAACGCCATCAAATGTTCACAGGAATACACCCTGTGAATTATTTTATGGCACACAGGATTTTATGTCTTTATCTGCAGTGTACCCACATTATCACAACCCATGGCATAAAGGAAGGACGTGATATACTGCTCTGCATTTTCAATTTGGCAAGTGATTGCCAGATTCTCTGAGAAGCCCACCATTTACTGCTGTTTGGCTAGTGCCAAACTAGTCGTGAGGGAGAGTCTGTTCTTTTCTATAAAGAAAATAAACAGAGATTCATTTATTTTTATTCTCAGGCCTGGCAGAGACAGTTAATAATTGTCTCTCTCTACATTTGATTGTAGATATCGCAGTATTTATGGGTAAAAAAGAACCGGCAAGAAAGAGCAAAAAGTTCTTTATAATATTTTAGGAGAGAGCCAGGAAGTTCTAAACAAATCCTCATCGTTCTTCCTCTGAAACACTGAAAAACATGCATGTCATTTAGCATAAATCTTGCAGTACACTCTGTCTGCACCCTGCTCAGGCACAGTGCTCTCTGACACGAGGTTCTGTCAGAGCAACAACCGCTGGGCTGAGTCCAAAGGGATAAAAGCCACTCTATCAAGTGAAATATAGGTGTTAAGGGCTCAGTGAAAAATAAAGTGATAATTTTTCCATGCACTTATGTATTAAAGACACTCTCAGTCTTTTTCTTCATTCCTTCCCTTTCCAGCAGGGATTTGGAGAGCACCTTTTAGGAAAAAGTGAGAAGTCTTGAAAAAAGACGCCTGTTCTCCAGACCAGCGACCATTACAAAATTATACTTTTACCACGGCTACAGCAAAGGAAATCTAAATGACTGATATATGGAAATTGCCCTTGGTACCTTTGTTGATATTCCAAAGGTAAATATTTCATGTCAGGCCTTCTGCATTTGGCTGAGGATGTCTGGGTTGTGTTGACCTTTCTACGACCTCAATGACTTTCTAAGAGAAGCTGAAGCCAAGGGATGATGTTGGACAGTTCAATGACAGACTCTTATCTACATTATCCATTTTTTCCACACAGCCCAGGAAACATCAATGCTATCAGCAGTAGCAGCACTGGGTTTGGGGATTCAAAAACCCAACAAGGCAGTTTTAATAGTGCAAAAGACATAGACAAAGAAGTTAAAAAAGATGTGGGCTCCACCAATGATTTAAATAAATGGTCTTTTTGTGTAACTGGACTAGGATAGTGAGAAGTTATTTCCTCCATGGTTTCATGTGAGGAATTCCATGGTCTGTTCTAAATTAGAAGAAATGGGGAATGATTCTTTTCACCAGCCACAGTCATATCATCACCTTACAGCGAGGAATATACTGACTGATAGGATCAGATAACTGTATCTTGCTTGACAGACAGGGTCTGATTCACTTTTGAAAAATCTATATGGTTTTCTTAAAATTTTCAATATTGCTATTATCCGGAATTCAGACAGAATCACAGAAATGTCATTCTTCCAAGTTAAAAATTACAAAAAGTGAAAGTAGTGCCCTGGTCAGATATTACAGCAATTTTTACTACTGGTTTGTTTTTTTTTTTATTACTATTTTCCCAACACAATTTAGCTTACATAATACATGCTGTGGGGACATCTGCAGGAAGCCAAACAATCAGGTCTTACTGGGTACTTTCCACCTGGTGGTATGGAACTTATAATTTAATAATGTTTTCTACTTCTCACCCAGCAGAAAGACTGAGGAGGGAACAGAGAGGTGTGCTTCTCTACAATTATGGCTGGGTAAAAGTACAGTTGCATCACAGAAAGGAACTGGGCAAAACTGGCTGAGGAATAAGCTGTTTCTACATAGCTCATGAGTCAAAGCTATCAAACTTTGAAGTATAAGCACTATTCTCCGTGTCTTCTAAATAGAACAGCTCTTTGTTAACAATTACAATGCCTTTTACACATCATGCAGATATGTAGCATTATTCATCTGTATTTTCCTGCCATTAATTAACGAAGCCTGATGTGCATCCCTTTTCATTCAGTTATAATTTTGGAAGAACTTCTCATCGCCCTTTAGAAAGAGCTAAAAAGCATTATCTCAATAATGACTCACTTAAAAAAGCTTCACAGCCTCACTGAGCAGCTTTCAGCCAGCCAAGTCCACCCTGAGAAAAGTGGATACATGGAACAACAGGGGTGACCTGGCACATTCAAAATAATCACTTGAGGTCCCTGTATTTTACTCCAAATGTCAAAGGCAGCTCAGGACTACAGGATCTTTTGCTGCTACAGTGTCTGTGGGACTGAAAGGGGCTCTGCTTTTGCACTGGATGCATCAAGAGTTATTTGCCTGGCAATGCCTCAGGCCAGGATGCTCCAACCTCTAAATCCTACTTCATAACACAGACCAGTGTTCATAGGACATGACATGGATGCCTGCCAGAAAAGTAGCACTGCTGAAATAGTTCCTCCTTATACACAAAATGAAAGAAATTTCCAATGTTTTTTTTAATAATCTACAGCATTTTAGTAGAGGAACTAGAGCAACATTTTTGTGAATAGCAAATCCCATCGCTCATTATTCTGTCCAGCTTCTGATGCCTGTATCTTGCTAGGTTTTTGTGGTAAAAAAACTAAATAAAGCAGCTAAAGGTTCAGGGAGAAAACAGGTGATTCATTAAAGTTTTATTACCTTTCAAACTTGTTTAGGACATTTGTGGTGTGTAATATGGCAGAATACGTATTTAACTGATTTCCTTGCTTCACCACTTCTCCTAAACCCTGCAAATTCATTCACAGGGCTTATACAGAGTATTTTCTGCAGGCTGAGAAATGCATGGCTGAGACTTCTCAGTAGGTCTTAGCACATCCTGAGGAAATCGATAACTCCCTGAAGTGCCACGCAGCCACTTGCAGAACGTTCTTTTTATGGCTGTGCCACCTGTTAGTCCTCACAAAAATTAAATCTGTGCTTTGCTGTTTCAAGTGGCAGCAAGCTTTGGCAGAGCTGGCTTACTGGTAAGAAATATTAACTGGGAAGGTACATACATTCAGGAATCTACATCAAATAGATGAGATTTTCCTAAGAAGTATGGTGCCATCCACTAGAATCAGAAAACTGATTCTGAAATGGTGCTTGCCACTAAATGGGAGTTGTTCCTGGTTTGCATTAAATTCGGGTAAAATCAGCACCAGAAGTACAGTTGTATCTTAACAGGAGTTATAACAGCATTACAATTATATGGTCACCTTGCTCTCAAACTCTTCTGCATCTTTCAGCTCTTGGGGATACCCATCAATCAGGAATCCTTTTGTGTCCCCTAGCCTGGAAACCATGGCTTCCTTCAGCAGCTCTAGAACAATACCCTGTACAGGAAAGAAAGGGAGTTATTTGGTTAATTAATGGAAAAGATTGAGACCTTTTTTTGTTACACTGACTCTAATGCTACCCCCCTGAAAATGGCCCTGTTTGGCTAAAAGTCAGTCCTGTGAATGCAAGTGTCTTTTCTTGTGTTTTTTCTTCTCTCAGGATCAGCTGTGCCACACAAATCTAGTGCTGCAATCCATCCAAGAGTTCCCAAAGTGCCCTCTAGGTACCTGAGAATATTTCATAGTTTCAAAATGAATGTTAATACCTGTGAAATTCTGGAGCACTGCTGCAGCATTTTCCAATCTGATTGCATTTGGCTGTGTCACTGATATAATTACACTGCATGGAAAGTGACCCCATCTGACCAAACACGCTGAAGAGCAAAGCAATCAAAATCAAGCCTGAGCACAGCTTTTAGTTTCCCCCGAGCAGCACTTCCCAGTATCCTTCATTAACAAACACATCCCACGATCCAGCTGCACTTGCTGAAGACCCACCAGGAGCTGGGGCTGCAGACCTGCCATGCAAAAGTCAAGTCCAGCTGAGAACAACACCCTCTGCCTTCAGTCTCCCTTAATCTGCAGTCCAGCTACTCTGGGATGTCAGCCAGCTCTGCAGGGAACTGCTGCAGGTACTGTGATTTAGAATAGCTGCCAGGTGGACCAGCTCTGAATCTGAAATGCAAAGCTATAAAAAGGACTGTTTCCTGTACTTATACTTACATTTTGCAATGTGTCTGTCTCACTGTATTTCATGTCTAATTTACTGCCTATATGAGTCTGAAATGTAAAGAAATATTGGCACTGAAAGGAGAAACAAGTGCCCCAGATTTGGTAATGAGAAACTTCTACCTCAGGTTATAGATCAGTTTTACTGAAATGGGAATCATCAGCTCCAGTATCTTATTTCCACCCTTTTAGACAATCTACCTACCACTGCCTTTGTTTAACCTTAGGGCCCCAAATAAAACTGTTGCTTACACCAGGCACAGGTTCACCACATTCCATGATGTCTTTGATCAATTTACTTCTCTCTGATAATGACAATAACTCATTTTGGAGAAGGTCAGCAGTGGACAGGTGAGAAAATCCGTATTTCTTGGCTAACTGTTCACACTGGCTACCTTTGCCAGAGCCGGGCCCACCTTTGTGAGGGAAAAAATATCTAGATTAGAAGAGAATAAATGTCTGCCTAAAAACATTAGCATGTTAAGGGAAAACATGAAACACACAGCCTGTGGGGAAGGGTACTTGACTCGGTATATATGTTCATTTTGACAGCTGCAACAAATAGTAGCAAAATAATGTTCATTGTACCACTGTGAGAGAAGTATTTTGCCCCCACTTATGGGATGGAAACGTGTAGGCAAAGAGTCAGCGAAACCTGCCTCTGTCAGGTGGGATGCACGCAGATGTGCAGTAACTGTGGTGAACATAAGAGCAGAGTTTTGCATCCTTTCCCCCTGAGCTGGAAAACTCTCAGGTGCTGGTGGCTCTGCCCAAAACTGAGCACCTGAGCAGCTGCTCCTGCAGCCGTGGTGCTGCCTTGCTCTTCACACCTGCTCCCGGGAAATGGGGGAGCGCAGCTGCCAAGGGCACAGGGAGACCTTGCCAGCTCCCGCTCTCCTGCATCCGCAGCTGTACTGGGCTGGAAACCCCCCTGCCCAGAGCCCAACACCCACCGGGTCACAGGCACCTCAGCAACAGGCCACGCAGGTGAAGCCGCTCAGTGGTTTCTCCCCAGGCTGGAGGGAAAGCCCTCGCCCTGCTCACAGGACAGGTGGGAGACAGAGGGCAGGGAATGCTGTGGGTGTTCTCCCGGCAGGAATGGTGCCTCAAGCCTCCCGATTCCTTGGACAGGAGAGTTGTGTCCACCCAAGAGCCCCAAAGCTCTGCCCCTGTGGGGCTGCTCTGGACACCCCCTCTCACGCCCTGGCCCATCACCTCAGTGCTTCTCCCTCCTCTCCCTGGCGGCCAAGGACATGAAAAGCCAAAGGCGTTTTCAGCCACCTCCCAAGGTGCTGCAGCCACCCCAGCCCGGCTGGAGAGATGGACAGCCCATGGAAACTGCTGGAAGCTGCTCGTCATGGATGCCGCTGCTGTGGCCGTGACCCCAGAGCCGCGGTGGAGCTGAGGTGAGGCCCTGAGGGCTGAGGGGCCGCCATGGCGCCGGGGTGTGAGGGGAGATGGGGAGGGCGGGAAAGCGAAGCCCCAGTATCGGAGCCTGTGGAGAAAATCCACTGCCTGCAGTAGCAATTTTATAGTCTTTGACAGATCTATCCAGAAGATCTACTGCAGCAGGAGGTAATTATACCCTTGTAGGGAGACAGTGCTCAAGCTCTTAAAGTTTTTTCAGCGTGTGACTTGTGTATTTATCAACTGCTGGGACTGCAAGTATGACTACACAGCCCTGCTATGTGTAAGGAAGATGCTACAAAATACATGATCTTCCTGTTTGCTTATCTTTCCGCAAACAAAGGCAGGAATAACACGGTCACAATAGAGTGAATTTTCTTCTAACTTTTGCATTCAATTTAAGAAATAATTGCTCCGAGCACGTGATTTTCAGAGAAGTTACAGCACTGTAGCTAAGATTAAAAATGGGGTCATGAGAGTAGCAACAAAGGAAGGGGCTTGTCTGCTGTGATCTGCAGTCTTTTACTTCAGCTTCACAAAGACAATTATCAGCCGTGGTGTGAGAATCACACCTGTACTACAATTTTTTGCTAGAACTATCTTTGTCACAGGCTCATCTTTTCTTGCCAACATGGGATGGATTCTGTGCTTCTATTGCTTTAATGTGAAGAATGTTGTTGTTTTGTAAAAGCACCGGTTGAAAGAAAAAAGGGAAAAAATAGGAGTGGCTACAAAGAAACAGATGTGGAGAAATTACAGGCAAATTAACTGTAATGAGTCCATTAAGTATCTGAGTGGCAATTACTTGTATTTCTGGTCTGTTTTGGTTTTTTAGATCAGTAAGTTTGTGCGTGAATGTGCTTGTTTACACATTCTGTCTCCTGGCATTGAATATGCTAGCAGTGCAGTGATTTAATCCTATTGATTTGGTCTGTATATACAGTATTAAAAAAACCACCAGCTAGAAAGATTATTTTATTCTGTTTCTTATATAACTGTTTCTCTCCTGATGTAGAGCCCAACCAGAAATGTCGCAGTTTCTCTTCGTATACTAAATAAACTATATGTCTGTTTAGAAATAGCAATACAAGGAAAATTTTTTGTTGTTTAGCAGGTAAACATTCAAAAAGTTGATGTGTTTCTAATACCCTTGTCTGTTAGTGTTTTAAAAGAGAACACTGTCAGAATGGCACAATACATATACATACACCATGTGTGCACCCCAAACAATAATTAAAATTGACCATGTTTATTTTTCTAGGAGAGTTACAACAAGGCAGAAATTAAAATGCTGAGCTCTTTAAAGAGAAAAAGACATAATTAAGTATGTTATGTGCTGAAAATGGTAATTTTTATAGCCACTGCTAATAATTTAGATTCATTTGACGAGTAACAAAGCATTCTACTGCTTAACAATTGTACGTGACCATTTTACCAAGTCTTGTGCTTTCTTATCAATGAATGAGGCTGCAGTTCTTGCTTGGCCTGATCTGAGGAGAGGCTGAATTCCCCAGGAAATTCAGCATTGAGGGCTGAGCACACACTCGGCCTTTACAACAGTATTAACTTACATGTCTGAAATTAAAGTATTATTTAATGTCCTGTCGCCCTCTGAAGTATCTCATGTGACTGAAGTAGAGCTATTTTGGTGGGAAAGAATGTGAAAGTGCATTTTCTTACTAATCAGATGCTTCCTTCTTGCTCAGGGTATATCCTTACCTGACTGCTACATAAGCAGCTTTAACAGCAAATTAACCCTGTGGTCATTGAAGCTCACTATCAATTTGTAGTGTTGCAAAAACTGTATCTGTTCTTTTAGAGGATGTTTTTATTAAGTCTATGCATTTTTCTACAGAAAGAGATTAATAATTTACTTGAAGAAAGTTTATTTGGAACAAAGTTTATGTGTTTTATGCCTGTGAAGCATAAACAAAAGCTAGCAAAATTATTTTTTCGGTTAAGAAGGCTCCACTGCAACTTGTTATGCTGTTTTTCAAATGGAAAATACTTGAGGCACTGAAAAAGGTAGTCAAGTTTTCCCAGTGGCTCAACTGTCAGGAGGAAAATACGTCCCCACTTTTGTTGAGAAGGCGAAAGATTCTTTGTGAACGCTGTCATTTTTTCTGTGTGCTGTCATCCTCTACTCTGCCTACGTACAGTTTGGAAAAAATATGTCTTGGTTCTTGGGAACTTGCTATTCAGACTAATCATGTTGTCTTCTGATTTCTATATATGACATGAAGGTAAAGGGCTAAAGCCTAGAAAACAGCCAGAGGAATTAGGAGTGTGCTGTGACCTGCAGGACGATGTAGAACTACCAGCAGTTCTTCAATGTTAGCAGTGTTGTGCTAGCATTGCTCAGTGCAGTACATCTTGCTTTAAAGCTCATTTGTTAACTCAACAAAAACCAAAAACTGCAGATTAAGAAATCAGAAACATCGTATCAGTCGGTGAGATCGTTTTTGGAAACTGGATCCTTTGTGTCTCCCCCTGTGCTTTTTGATACAAATAGGAAGCAAGAACTGGAACCAGGGTACTGGCACAGAAATTAAATGCAGTTCTGTATATTGGTTTTCTGTAGACAAGGCTGGATTAAAAGGTCTGTGCAATCCCTCAGAGCAGCATTCCCTTCCATTCTGCTGATTCATCTGCCTGTGTGAGGGGATCTCCTGGTAACTAACTTTCTGGCAGCACTGCTGACTTAGGTGGTTACCCTTCCCTGTTTAATTATGGACTGCAAAAAGGCTTCCCAGGGAGCACTTCAAGGGGAGAAAAGGACTGGTCTCAGTGGGTTGGGGTCATGACAGTTGTCCAAGCAGCACTTCTGAATATTTAACTGCAGCCAGCCTGAGATCAGCAAAGGATCTCAGTTCTCCCTCCTGCCCCAGCCTCCTCCAGACTAAGAAGGACCAGAAGCCTGGGCATGTCACTCAAATGTACCGCTCTGACCTACAACACAACACCACAACCCGAGCAATTAGTGATGACAGAGGGAGCTGGGACTGCTGCTGGGAGTGAGCAGGGACAGGAACAACCAATATGAGCAGTTCAAGAACCAGCTTTGCTGTCAGAAATGTTAATAAGGCAAAAGTGTCATGCTGTCAGACTGAGATGTCTCTATTTTAAATCTTACAAGTTTATCATATACCAAAATATCCCGAACATTTACATAAGGTGCCAGCAGTAAGATTTACAAGAGAGTCCCACCATTCATTTTAAAATATTTCAATTTCTAGACCTTGTTATCACAATGAGTATCATCCCTGTATCATGGAAAAGTGCTTGCAGGGGAAACCTGCAACAATGGAGCCTCAGAAGTCAGAACTGAAACCAAAATAACCCCAGTCAATCTGTCCTTATATTCAAGCTATGATTTTGGAGGACTTGTTCAGTTTGGCAATTTTACCTTCGATGCTACTTGTATTATTTATACAAGTAAAAATAAGCCTTAATTTCAGAATATGGCATTTGAAGGCTTCTCAATAGCTCCTCAACAACAAAAAAAACCTCAACAGTTTTTTTTGGTGTTTTTGTTTTTTTTTTTTCTGAAAGATAATTTTAATCAGAAAATAACCTGGAGCATATGTTGGCAGAATGATGTGAGGTCTTGGGACATCACTGAGTTCTCATCCTTCTTAAAGAAAACGTGAAGTTCATGTCATGGGAAGGCAGGGAAATCAGCCTTACTCAGTTTCTACAGTTAGTGCTCGGGCTGATGGGGGGTTTAATTATCAGTGTTGCTCATCCTATGCCTTTCTGAAATACAGTGACTGTGGCACAGTTTAGGTTGCCAGGGACCTTATCTGGTTAAACGTTCTACTCAAGCAGGGGCTAAATTAATGATAAATTGAATTAGATTAGGTCACTCAAGGTCTGACAGACATTGGACAAATAAAGAGTTTGGGTTTCATGATTTATTTATTTCTGGTGTGTGCAAAAGAAGCTACTGTCTGCAGCTGATAATGTCTTATTTCTAAGTGTCAATGGTGAGAATATCTTCAGTGTCAGCTAAAAAGCTGGTCTTCCTTACACTGAGCTTAAGCAATTACCAGCTTTAGTACATCAGCAAGAACATAACAAAGATTGTGCAGAGGAAGTTGGTTACACTGACTGAGCTTTAACCACCTCATTTACGAGTCAGTGGGGAGTTTGTTTCTGATCCAAAGGGCAGAAAGATTCCCGAGACCTCCCTTTCCACTTCCAGCCTCAACCAAAGCCCAACGTGGCTCTGTTTTATGAACCTCCTGGAGAGGACAGGGAAGGGGAACGACCCCAGCAACTGTTGTGTGTGACAGTTTTGTGGATGCAGCATGGAGTACTGCAGCAGCTAGGGCTGATCATAACGTCATTCACTGCAGTTCAAATTGATGAAAAGAAATTTTTTTGTTGTTTTTTTCATGTTGTGGGGTTTTGGTTTTTTAATGGCTGGCAATAAATACGTAAGTTTTGAGTATTATAGCATCACCCAAATTTATTTTTACACCTCTGTGGTTTTTATTTCTGTTCTCTGGAATTTTACTTTACAGGCCAAATTTACCTTGGTTTTGCCTCTTTTATTGTCCTGCTCTTATCTCCTATATTTTTTACTTGCTGGTTCTATGTCTCTGCTTTACTTTCTGGGTAAAACATTGACATTGCTGCTTAATTAATCCAACTTGACTGTTATTCCAATTAATTCCTACATTAGCCCTAATGTAAATCTTTGCTAATTAGATTATTTCTTTTTCTTTCCCTTTTGGACAATTTTCAAGGGTAATTAGTGGGGGAGGAAACTGCCTGTTTTTTATCTTTTGTCTTATAAACACTATCTGTCAGCCATGGCAGATGGTGCATTTATTTTGATTAGTCTGTAAATTACCTCAAATGTACATCTTTAAATCTCACACTTTTAAACTTCTTTTTAAGCATCTTATTATTTCCTCATGGATACATCTAATGGCACCTGAGACCAAGGCAGTTTTTCCCATTCAAGTATCCATGGAAGCCTGTTCCAACCCCTCTTCTTTCTCTCTTTCCAGCCAAGGTATCATGGGCTGAACATCCCCAACGCTGCCCACTGCAAAGGACCACTGAGAATTTGGGGGGCTTGTTTTTCTCCCTCTCCCCCCACTCCCAACAGTTTTGTTCTGCTCCTGTGAGGTTTCTTCAGCGTTTTCTTTAATTCTTGTACAATTCACTGCTACCAGATTTCAGCTCCTAACCAACAGTCATTTATTATCTACTTTGGAGGTGTGGCTTTTTTTTAATTAGGAAAAAGAATGCACAAATTGACTTACTTTTATGTACAATCCCCCATGTTCTGGTATCTATCCTTATGACCTTGGAAATGCTCTGCATTGTAAGGTAGTTCTGAAAACTGCTTGATACAAAAGCAATTATTCTTTCCAAGTGATCAGTACCGAGCTTTAAGATCAAACTTGTAATTCTTCTCGTTATAATTTGTTTCAAAAGACTGTTCAAAGTTTATGCTTTACACAACTGTTGTTAGTACGGTCAGACCCAAGTTAATTACATGTTATTAAGTGCTAACTCCCTTCCAAAAGACTAAACCATCACTGTAGCATAAATATTCTCCACTAAACTATTCTGCTCAACTTTAAAAGGAATCATATAATCAAAGCCAAATAACAGGGGGATTTTCAAACGTAGCAGTTAAATCAGGAATCCTACTTACCAACCACAAAAATTATGTTTGATTTCCTCAGATCTTCTGAAAAGTCTGAAATGAAAGTAAAAATTCTTTAGTGGGCAAGACCTACTAATTTTTATGTCAGCTACTTACCACACCGAATTGGGTCACACTCATGCAAGGGGATCTGATTTTACCAGATTTACCTTCTGCTACAATGCTCTGCATTCCAAAAGGAGCTATCATCCACAAGCCTAGTAATCTCCCAGTTTCATAATTCTCATTGCAGATACAATAAAGATATTTTACCTGAAAACTAGACCTTGCACATACACATCTGTTCTTTAAAAAAGGAAAGAAAAAAGGAAAAAAAGAGAGAAGCAGACACATCTCGATGTATACCAGTACAGAAGGGGATCTTGCACCATTTGAGCTGATGAAATTTTATTATGTCTTTGACTTAATCACTCACAAGACACATTATTATGTGGCCTTATTACAAAATATCACAAGGCATGAAAAGTTTTGATTAATCCTTTCATTCCTCTTGGACTCATAGCACCTCACACTTCCCAAGGAGGTTTTCATAACTGCCAGTTTCTGAAAACACCTCTGAGACTTGATGCTGATTAACAGTAGCATCATCTAATATTTTTGGACCCACTAGCCTAAAGAGCATAGAAATGTCTTCTACAAACCTTAATTTGCATTCAAAGAGGATTCACATGATAAAATACTTTGAGAAATAAATTTCACGATATAAATAACCTGACTTTGCCTTCTATGTAACTATTTAAATACCAGGGGAAATCAAAGGTTTCAAAATGAAATGGCAATTAACACTGAAAAAGGAACTCACCTCCTGTGCTCTCATAACCAGAAAAACTTGACTGATCCTCCTCCTGTTAATTAAGCAATTGATAAGTTGAAATGGATATTCTGCACAGTTTGCATTTCTTCTTCTATCTGCTTGTCTGTATATCTTAACAGCTCTCTCCAACCTCTCAGTTTTAATCTATGTTGAGACACAATTTACAATGTCACAGAAGTGCTCTTGGTGCTGTTTCAGTTGCTAGAACATGAGCCTGGAGAACCCAGGATATCCTGAGATGATGAATTGCCCCATATGATGAGTGGAGTTCCTCAGGGTTCCGTGACAGTGGGATCCAGGGCACCCTCAGCAAGTTTGCCAATGACCCCAGGCTGTGTGGCGCTGTTGGAAGGGATGCCATCCAGAGGGACCTGGACAGCCTTGAGTGGTGGGACCATGTGAACATCACAAAGTTCAGGGCCAAGGACAAGGTGCTGCTCCTGTGTCAGGGCAGTCCCTGCACAAATGCAGGCTGGATGGAGAATGGATCGAGTGCAGCCCTGGGGAGAAGGACTTGGGATTCTTGGTGGATGAGAAGCTCCACATGACCCAGCACTGTGCTCTTGCAGCCCAGAAAGCCAATTGTCTCCTGGACTGCACCAAAAGCATGTGAGCAGCAGGTCAGGGAAGGTTCTGCCCCTCTACTCTGCCCTCAGGAAACCCCACCTGGAGCGTTGCATCCAGCTCTGGGGCTCCCAGCACAAGGGGAACACGGACCTGCTGGAGAGTCCTGAGGAGGCCACCAAGATGCTCAGAGGGCTGGAGCACCTCTCCCAGGAGGACAGGCTGAGAGAGCTGGGATCGTTCAGCCTGGAGAAGAGAAGGCTCCAAGGAGACCTTAGAGCAGCCTTCCAGTACCTGAGAGGGGCCTGCAAGAGAGCTGGAGAGGGACTTTTTCCAAGGGCATGGAGTGACAGGACAAGGGGGAATGGCTTTAAACTGAAAGAGAGCAGGTTTAGATTAGATCTTAGGAAGAAATTCTTCACAGTGAGAGTGGAGAGGCACTGGAACATGTTGCCCGAGAAGCTGTGGATGCCCCATCCCTCAAAGTGTTCAAGGCCAGGTTGGATGAGGCTTTGAGCAACCTGGTCTAGTAGCAGGTGTCCCTGCCCAAAGCAGGGGGGTTGGAACAAAATGCTCTCTAAGGTCTCTTCCAACCCAGGCCGTTCTATGAGTCTGTAATATTGGTTTTGTGAGGAACAGCTTTTCAGTGTCCAAAGGAACGGTTCCTGCAGGATACACAAGCACCCAGTGTGCAGGATGAATTGCTTCCAAAGTAAGTGTGGTATGATAAGCTGTTAATAGTGAGAAAGCAATACTGGAGAAAGCTCTAGAACTGAACTACAATGTAAAGATGAAATTAGTCTTTGAAAGTTGTTATAAAGGCTGCAGAACTACAGAAGGATTACACCATGGAAATGGGGAACTTGGCATGTTTTTTTTCCTGAGACTTCCATGCCCCTTAGCATGATTTTGCCACATCCTGTACAGTACAATCTATGAGAAATTACAAAGGCTGGCCAGCAAGAGTGTTAGAGTGGGAATTCTTTGTTGTTCTCATAAATGAGAATTACATATATTCTGGACACGGTCTGGGTTATGTGGTATCAATATACTCACACCATCAACGCTTTAACCTAGTCTATAAATATCAATAATAGCACTGACAGGAGCACTCTCATACTACTTAATCCATGCATGTTATCAGCACACAACATGTTATGCCAGTCAGCTCAAAGGAGCACATGGTCATCAAGCCACAGTTTCTCACAGCACAGCTTCAGCCCCTGTGAGAAATGTGTGTGGCTGCATGAGCAGATGAGGGGAATGAACAGCAAGGGGATCAGAATGGATAAATTGCTGGCTACTTTAATTTGCAGGGCTCATGCACCACCCTTGCAGCTTTCTCCTTGTGTTCCCATCATCACTGAAACACAAATGCTCTTCATTAGGCTGAAGTATTATTACATTGGCTACATAGAATATTTTCTTTTTTTTTGATTTGCAGTAATTCTCAGCTCATTACACTGCAGCAGGAGAACTGCCATCTTAAAAAAAACCCACCAAAACCTGCCAACATTTTCAAATGAAAGATCAGTCTCTTTCCTACATTTCAAGTGACAGTATTAACCCTACATTGTGTTGCAATAATACAATAAAATAATTGACCCTGCAAAGGATATATTACATAAAAAAGGCCTCATTTTAGATTCAGCTTCTTATCATGCCTTCGAAGGCCTATGATCAAAATAATTCTAGGCACAAAGTTTACACAGAAGTTTCTTTAAAAATCAAGATCACAATCACAAGTTTAAAATCAAATTAAAGAAATGAAAGTGGCATTATGTCTTTCTTGTGCTGATCTGAGTGAGGAACTTTGCTGTTTGGTTTGAGGTCCCTTGCAAAGACCTTGGCAGAGTCCCCGTTTAATGCAGTCTTCTCATGTTTACAGATGACAGTACCTAGATCTGATTGTGTCTTTCTGAACTGTGAAGGGCTTAACCTTTATCCGCCTGAAAGCACTGATCTGCCTCGTTACCAAAATGCTTTGGAGGAGAACTGTTGGATTTAGCAAGTGATCACATCAGGAAAAGTCCTGGCTAACGGTAATTACACCACATTGCCATCAGCAATACAGTGCTTTAGAGCTGTTTCTGTGTACTTGAAAGCAAGGAGAGGAAGTTCATCATCTTATGATGATGTAGCAGTGAATTGTGCAAGAATAACTGCTGAAGAAAGATGGATAGTCTGTAATTTCAGATGCCTTTACAGCCAAGTTATATCTACAAATATTATCTGGAAAAACATCAATTAGAGGAGCCCAGCTGATTGTGTAACTGCTTAAACAATATCAACAGTACATTAAAATCACTGCAAAATAGAAAAGTTTGCTACCTGTAAAGAATCTCTTAGCAGACATTCATCTGTAGAGTTGGAAAATGCAGTCAGACTGTATTCTGCCTTCCTGTCATCTAGGTTGTTATTGGCAAATATCTGACTGGGAGCAGATAACAGGTTAATGAGTTTAAGTTACTGCCTGTCATTGCCAGGTTGTGAAATAATCCCACAGAACCATAGGATGGTCTGGGTTGGAAGATCATCTAGTTCCCACCCAGCTAATTTCCATAATAAAAAACTGACACTAAGTCACAGCAAATAATAAGAAAATGATACAGAATTCTTCAGATCTTTGAGTTTTGCTACTAATGAATTAGGACTCTTCAGACATATCACTTTAAAGAAATCAATAAAATAGATTTAACTTTTTATCTGATGCAGGGACGTTTTCTTCATTAGGACTTAATGGCAGCTGCTGTGAATGTTCCTTACCTGATGAAATGAGAAAGCTTTTCTGTTACCCATTAATAGCCTCTGCTCCAGGCCTTGGGGGGGTTTATTTGGGTTCTTTTTGTAATATGGAAAAGAAAAAAGTTCTCCTTTATCACGTCATTATTTCTTGAATGCTACTGGAAAATAGTGGTGAAAAGTGCCTCATTCACTTTATTCAGATTTTTCACAGATATAACAGGAATTCCTCCTAGAAATTTGCTGAAGAGGATAAATAATCATGGATAAAGGAGAGGAGAGTGAGACTGACTTTAAAATACAGCATGATTGTTGCCTAAAAGTATTCTCAGTTTTCAAGTTTGAATTTGAGAATGTAAATATTCAAAGGAATGTGTCAGGCACAAATTATTTAAACAAATAAAAATTACATGTTTCTCTGCAGGTTTTATGTAAGGGCAGTGGACCCAGGAATGGGTTTTATAAGCCATACAGTTGCTTACCATTAAATTTGATTTATGCTTCAAATCACTTTTTAAGGCTGGTTGGTTTGGTTTTGATTTGGGGTTTTTGCATGTGCATTTTGGTGTTCTCTGTTTTGTTTTTGTTTTTTTTTTAACTTTAGAGAAGAAAGGCTTTTTATCAGGCCTGTCTCAATTCAATTTTCCAAAAGAAAAAGATGCTGGCACAAAGAAGGGCAAGAATAGGGTGTTGTAAAAATAAGAACAGCTTGTGGCCCTCAGATCCTGTGAGCTGCTGCTGTTCAGATAAAAACTGACCATTGTACTCCAGTTTTGCTACTCAAAGGTCTCCTCTGCTTAACATTTGACCGTGGATATTCAAGGTTTACTAGAACACCTATTTGTTATTAGGTAGTTTTATAACTTTCAGTAAGAAACTTCTACAGTATTTATAAAGAACTTCTCTATTAAGAAGGAATGTAATTATCTGAAGAAACAGTCCACTGATCTGAGATGCACTGCTGTGAAGGAGTTCTAAAACTAGGCCACTTTTCACTCTTTATGACTGGTATTTAAGCCCAAAATGACTAACACTGACTGCACAATCACGGGATACATAAGGAGTAAAAAAAAAAAAACACCACATAGGAAACATATGGCTTTCTGAAAATACATTGGGAATTTTTTTTTAACTTCCAATGCACCCAGAGAAGCCACTCTTCTGCTTCAATACAACACAAATAAGTGATTTTAAGAGCAGTTTTGTATCCCACATAGTAAAACAGCATCCTTGCAATCACTGCAGTTTTATGGGTGAATGTAAAAATATATAGCATGTACTTTAACAGTGATTAAGAAGTATAAAAGAAAAAAGTGGTTTCTTCTGCAGTGCTTTAAAATATAGGAATTATTACTGCAGATGTTCCTAAGGAAGGGTTTTGGTAGCTGTCTTTAGGAATGCTGGGCTAACGTGAACAGAACCAGTCCACAGCCCCGAGTGAGGTGTGTAAATCTCAGAGGCAGAGAGGGGAGGATTTAAAACACACCTTTACATTTCTTCACCAACTTTTGGTGCAATACGAAAAGTTCTGCTTTGGATCCTATTTGCATCAACTGTGTGGGATGCCTGATATTCCCCAAGAATTATGCAAGTTCTCTGGGCTGTAAAGGTAGAACTCATAAATTGAGCTGTAAACTTATATTTTGTGCATGAAGGGATAAAGGCCTCAGTTTGTCAGGGGAAGGGCAAGCAGGTGTGAGGAACAAAGGTACACTATTCTACTGC